CCAATATCAAATTCCACTAAGTGGAAAGTCTAAAGAAGTAATTTGTAAATATTTGAAAGTTTTATAGCTTTTGTAAATCAATTCAGTTTCTCAGGCTAGGCATCTCAGTTTGGGCGCAAATTTAGAGGGTTGACCATAGGGATATGCCTAATCAATATGAAATTGATAGACCTTAAATCATAGGTCATTTTACTAGGATTCAAGGTGATAGAAAAAATCACCCATAAAGGGTTTTATAACATGGGTCCCTAAACCTGAGATTTGGTTTGGACTCCTAGATTTGGATTGGATTTTGGGTTTAAATGATTGAGTTTGAATTATAGACACCAATTACAATTAGATGAATGATTGCAATTGACTGGATATGATTTGATGTTTGATTGAAGGTCTGAATTGAAAGTATGGAATCAAAGGCTGGATTGGAATTGGTTGGGATCTCTATGGTTGATAGGTGGATGATTATTAACCATTAGATCACCAAGTAGGAGTCTGGATAGGTCCTGATGACCTCATACAGAAATGAGGTCAATAGTGTGTTAAATCTATCAGAACTAAGAGAAATATTATAAGGATGCTAATTTATTAATCATATCAATAAACAAAAAATCTTCTAATAAAATGATGACAAATAGTAATATATTTGGTTTGCAAGAACTGAATTAGATTTTTCATGATAAAATTACACTTGGGTTACCACTACGGTATCTACTTTTAACCTAAAATTAAGAAGCTATTGCTTAAGCCATAAGACTTTATGGCTTGGGCCACACAACTTTTGCCACATTATATTCTGCTTCTAAAGTCGATAATGCAATTGTGTTTGCTTTCTTCTCAACCATAAAAAAAAAAAAACTCATATAAACTAATTAAGTTTTTGAAATTCTTTTCTTTTTTTTATCAACTTTACATATTGCAAAATCAAAATCCAAATATCCTACTCGACCAAATGATGTGTTATTTCTATCCAACTAAATTTCTAAAGTAAATATTCTTGTGAAATACCTAAGAATTCATTTTATTGAGATCAAATATGATTCTTTGGGGTCAACTTGATAACATGTACACACACATGCACTAAATATGATGTCATATACTTGTAGTTATATATAACAAAGTCTAAATCTTTCACCTACACTTTTTTGCATTTTAAGGGTATTGATGCTCTTACATGCTTCCACGCCAAATTTTTGTAATTAATTTCATTATGTGTCTTATTTGACTCATATATATCACATTATTTAGTAACTAAATTTTCAAGAAAAATGTGCTTAGTCTATCATACAATGCAATGTGTGTTCATTTTAGATCATATAATACCTTACACATGATTTTGATATATTGAACACTCTAATATAGGTGGTTTCTCAATATAGACATCCTCATCAATCACTCCATTTAGAAAGGCAATTCTCACATCTATCTGATATAGCATAAATCCCAAAAATCAAGCAAAATTAGCCAATAATATAGTGGAATCTAAATGAGTTAAGGTGAAAAGGTATCCTTAAAGTCTATTCACTCTATCTGAATAAACCCTTGGTTACCAACCTAATCTTATTTCTAATAATTGATCAAGGGACATTTTATTTATTTTTGAAACTCCATTTCATTTTTATCACACTCTAATTATTTGGTCTAGGTAATAGTTCTCACATATTATTTTGAGCAAACTAAGCCAATTCTTCTTTCATAACAATTACCTGAAAATTGTCTAACAAGGCATCCTCAACACCAATGAGCTAAACTATAAAGATAAATATAATGTGAGTCACTTCTTATCTTAATGCATTCCTAGTCCTGATACCTAATGAATTATCTCTTATAATATAATTCTTAAAATGATTGCATGCATATTTTCTTTCTCTTGATTATGCTTCTACTTCCTTCTCTTTTAGATCCAAGTCTCAAGAATTTTGAAACACAGTTTCTTCTTCTGCTTCTCAGGGTTGACTAAACGAATCAAATTCATCAAGTATAACATGCATGTATTCCTAAATTCTCAAGGTTCTTTCATTGAATAATAAGTAGGAATTTCTAACTGAAGAGTATCCTAAAGTACTTCTTCATTTGACTTTGTGTTAGCTTGCCCAAACTTGGATTTTTCATTATTTTATATAAAATATTTGTAATAAAAAACACATAAGTGAGACAAGTTTTAAAGTTCTACCCTAAATGATTCATATAAAATTTTGTCCAGCTTACGATAAATATTTACTCTATTTGACACAACAAGTAGTATTAATATTCTCAGCAAAAAAATCTAGTAATTTATATTTATTTAGTATGAAACAGGCAACCTTTATTAGAGTCATATTCTTCCTTTCAATTATTTCATTGTACTAGGCTATTCTATGTGTAGATAAATTATGTCATATCCCTAACTCCTTACAAAATCGTTCAAGCTTCTCATTCTCAAATTCTTCTTCATGATTTCTATGAATTATAGAAATTAAGCAACACGATTTTCTTTGAATCTAACTAGTAAAGATTTTAAGCTCAAAAATATAATTACTCTAATTTGTTAGATATGTAATATAGATAAACCTTCTATTGTCATCTATAATAATAGCCATATGATATCCCTCTAACAAATCTAAGCTTGTGATTTTCCTAAGTGTACTCATGTTAACATAACATTGTCTCATATGTCTTAGCCCTAACTCCTATGGAATAAATTCCCTCATGTTACTTATAATATCAATATTAAGGATGCAAATATTGCTCATTTTGACTCCTTATAAAATATTTTTCTTTTCTTTTAAGGTTCATAAATATCCAGAAGTAATTTCATATCAAAACTCTTATTACATAGTTGACTAATAGACAATAAATTATATGTTAGACCATCAACTAAGAGGGCTATTTAATGATAAAGAAACTTTTCTTATTGGTATTTTTAATATCACATATATGTATCATAGTGTTAATGTCAAGAGTTATATTAACACTGCTCTTGGACTCGAGTGCAATGAATTTTGATATATCTTAAGTCAGATAACTTGAGCACTCATAGTCTAGGTGCCATATGCCTCAACCAGCCTTATAACGCAGGCATAGCTAGAAAGAAAAGCTAAATTTTTATTATAGGAACCAAACAATCTCGGGTTTCTTGATGCAAGCGGATGAATGAATGACATAATTCATTATGATTTGCTTAGAAATCAAATTATAACCCATGCTCATTTGTTTCCCATGAGTGCACATGTGTGTTAAATGATTAATCATGCCACATAAGTAATAGTTAGTGTTAGATATGGAATGTATGAACCAATAAGTTTAAAACATCTTCTTCTTATAAGATGAAGATGTAGTATCTCATCTTAGATGGGGCATGCAAATGGGTATGGAGGAGAGATGTTAAATTCCAACACTTCATTCCTCAAGCCTTTATTTGTACATATAAGTGAATCTATCCTAACATGAAACTCATGTTTAGAGATCCAATTTAATATATTCTTATTGCAAAAATTCATACTTTTTCAAATTATCTGGAAAGGATAATTTTTCTTCTAATTTTTTTCCTTATTTTCTCTAGGCCTTGCAATAGAATGCTATGCACTTGCTCTATTGATAAGCACTTAAAAATAACTTGAGTATTTTTTTAGGTAATTTAAAATTGTTGTATAATTCTTCAAACTAAAAACCAACTCATTGTATGATAAATAATATTCATGTTAAGAGTTTGAATCACCCAATCACTCTTATCCATCAAACATATATTATTCATTTCCTCCTTGAACTCGCTTGCTGATGAATTTACGTTTGTGCTGATTGAAAAGGCCTTTTGAGTTTTTTTAGATCTTCTTTTAAAATTTTTTTCTTAAGCTTTTTTTTTTTCGTTTGGCCTTGAGCTTTTCGGTTAAACACTTCCACTTGAAGTGACCTAATTACTTGCACACAACACAATTAATGTTATTAATAATCTTTAATTTATCTTTTCCTTCTTTTTCCCCTTTCTTTTACTATTGAATCACTTATTTTTATCTTTCAAGAATGAATTAAATTCTGGTCAACAAGATCAAACAATAATCTTCAAAATTCTATTTTAAATTGTCCTCAAATTCTTTAACTTGTAGAGTAATAAACTTATCTTCTTACCTCACTATTATCCCTGCTAATTTTAATGTGGTAAGCCAGCCAACCTATTAAATACACTTAAATTTGTTTATTAGGGCAATCAATTCTAGCTTTATGTTAGACTGATATTTACTTTCCTACTGCTGTATGACAGGCTTTCTCGTGATTTTCACTACATTGTGTTTGTAAAATTGATTATTTGATGTGTTTATTTATTTCTGCAATATGTGAATTGATTTAGATGTTCATAGATTTTATGTGGGTGACCATGCTCAAATGTGCTTCAGGCCCACAATTTGGACTCATTTGGGCTCAGATTAGATCAAATTTGGTGTCATTGGGTTCGTCTTTTCGAGATGTTCAATTTGACTATACGTTTGCTAAAATCGGTGTTTAGATTGTCCCGAAATTAATTTTGGAAGTTTTCGATTTAACTTTGCCTAAAGATTCATGCCCGACCAAGATATTTCTTTGATGATATATCAATGTGAAATAGATTAAAAATACACTTCAATTCATATGCACACCTCCAAGCCCTTCAATGAAGATTATTCAAAATTATATAATACTTAAATAACATTTATCATTATATTAAATAAATTATTTTTTATTTTCAAATAACCCTAAATTGTCTTATGCACTCTTTCATGAATATATAAGTTATCAAAAACTATTTAGAAATAAAAATTATTCATCTTTACTTATTTTCATGCACCCTTGTAAAACATAATTATATGACTTTTAATATGTGCAAACTTTCAAATAGAAGTTTCGTACTTAAGCTGCAAGCACTGTTTCTATTGGATAGCTTCAACACTTTCAAGGCTCAGCCCACTCCAAATGAGGTGTAAAAAGAAACGAAATTTTAACTTGGGCCTCGGCCCAGTTGAACCACATCCAATAGTAGTCCCACGGGCTCTAATCATCCCGATATCAGCCCACCATGAGTGGAAGGTGCCAACTCCGAACCCGTCTCTTTTCCCGCTTCGCCAGAAACCTCGCCGCTGCCTCAGTACCCGCACCTTGCTCCTGCCCTCCTTCCCCTTCTTTTTTTCCTGAAGCCGAGACCACGAGCTGCTCTACTGAATCCATCGATGCTCTCTGCCGCCACGGTTTCTTCCATGAAGCCTTTGATCAATGCCTCCGACTACGATCCCTTAAAGCTGCACGCCGCCTCCATTCCCACCTTAGATCACCTCCCTTTAATCCTCCTACCACCTTATTCAATCGCCTCATTTATGCTTACTGCAAATGCGGAAGCCTCGTCGACGCCCGCAAGATGTTCGACGAAATGCCCCACAGAGACACCTGCTCATTTAACACCCTTATGGCCGGTTACTCCAATGCTGGTGACCTCGCTGAGGCCTGTCGCCTCTTTGATGAGATACCTATACGGGATCACTTCTCCTGGAGCAGTATCATTGCTTGTTATACCCATCACAACTTTCCCACTCAGTCGCTTGAACTGTATAGGCGAATGCTTCGAGAAATGGCCGCTGAAAATTCGAAATACAGCAACAGATTCACTGCTTCAAGTGCTCTTGCTGCTTCAACGGCTGTTTTAAGCCTCCGGCATGGGAGGGAGATTCATTGCCACATAGTCAGGGCTGGGCTGGAATCTGATGCCGTTGTTTGGAGTGCGCTCTCAGACATGTATGCTAAGTGTGGGAGCATCAAGAATGCACGTCAAGTGTTTGATTTGAGTTCTGACCAAGATGTTGTTTCTTGGACTGCAATGATTGGGAGGTATTTTGATGCGGGTAGGAGAATGGAGGGGCTTGAGCTCTTTCGTCATATGTTCAGCACCTGCGTTCGACCAAATGATTTCACCTTTGCTGGCGTTTTGGATGCTTGCTCAGAGCTCGCTGTTGAAGGGCTTGGAAGAGAGGTCCATGGCCACATGATCAGAGTTGGCTCTGACCCTTCATCTTTTGCTGCCAGTGCTGTTTTGCACATGTACTCCAAATGTGGAAACATTGAAAAGGCCAATATTTTCTTTGAAAGAATGCTGAAACCCGATTTGGTCGCATGGACTTCGCTAATCTCCGGATTTGCTCAGAATGGTCAACCCAGAAAGGCTCTCCTTTATTATGACCTGCTGCTTGAATCTGGGATTAGGCCAGATCACATTACCTTTGTTGGAGTTCTTTCAGCATGTGTACATGCTGGTCTGGTTGATAAAGGCATTGAGATTTTTAATTCAATAAAGGAGAAATTTGAGCTCAGGCACACCACCGACCACTATTCATGTGTTGTTGATCTCCTCAGCAGAGCAGGGCGGTTTCAGAAAGCAGAAGAGATAATTAATGGGATGCCAATGAAGCCTGATAAGTTCTTATGGGCTTCTCTCCTTGCTGGCTGCAGGATACATAGAAATCTGAAGTTAGCCAAAAGAGCAGCAGAATCTTTATTTGATATAGAGCCCGAAAACGCTGCAACCTATGTGACATTGGCCAATATCTATGCCTCTGCTGGCAAGTGGGATGAAGTTGAGAAAATTCGTAGAAAAATGGATGAAAGAGGCGTTGTAAAGAAGCCTGGTTCAAGTTGGATTGAGGTTAAGCGAAAAGTTCATGTGTTCTTAGTAGGGGATGATTCACATCCACTGGCAAAACAAATCTATGCATTCCTGGAGAAATTACAAATCAAAATGAAGGAAGAAGGGTATGTGCCAGATACAAATTTTGTGCTGCATGATGTTGAAGAGGAGCAGAAAGAGAATAATCTTTCATACCACAGCGAGAAGCTTGCTGTTGCTTTTGGAATTTTTGCTACACCACCTGGAACATTTATCAGGGTATTTAAGAATCTTAGAATTTGTGGGGATTGTCATACTGCTTTTAAGTTTATCTCGAACATTACAGGAAGGGAAATAATTGTTAGGGACTCAAACAGATTCCATAAATTTAAGAATGGAGACTGTTCTTGTGGGGATTATTGGTAAGTTTTTGGATCAATATCAGTATATTATACTGGATCTTAGTATGTTACTCTTCTTTGAGAGTGTTGACATAGGTAAGGTGTGAATATTTTTTTAGTTCTTTGGTTTTATATTTAAGTTGTAGGAGGTAACAAGAATCACATGGACAAGAACACCAGATTCATCTACTTAGATCAATAATGACCTACATGCATTGGATGATGAGAGCTAGATAAATTCATTATTAAATATATGGAATAGTACAGAATAGGACTGATAAACAACTCTTAATATTTCCCGAAGCAAATAATGTTTGGAGGAATTCTCACCAAAATTTGAAGCCAAAATAGGAGTTTCTTTAATCTTCCTGAACTCATTTCTCCTTCTTTCTTAGCCCATCCAATCACCAAGTGGAAGAAACCCTTATGGCTTCCATCTTTGACACATGCGTATAATCAAAAGAAACTAAGCTACAAACCAAAAAACATAGAATGCTCAACAAAAGTAAAGTAATGTAAGATAAAATTACATTGCAACCAAAGACCCAAAAAACAATTGAGATAACTGTCTCAATTCATTATGATCTGTGAAAGAGAGGAGCGAATCAAAATATTATGGATTCAAAAGAGGCAAATATATTAGTCACCATGAATATAAAGCAGATGGTAGGCTAAAAATGTTGAGTTACTCCGGGTTGCCAGAGATAACCCTCCAAGGTGAACATGGCAAAAAGTTGTCAAACGGCTTGCCTAAATATCCTTCACCATAGTCCATAGGAGCATAGAATATGCACCTTAGGAAAAGCCCATTCAACATTCAATAAAATTTCTTCTTAATTTTCTATAATCCTTTTATTTTTTTTTTTATCTTGAGCAGGATGGCCTTTTTAATGAGATGCTAAACAATAAGGGCACTATTAATGGTTGACCCAAATTTTATTGTATTCATTTCTCTCCAAATATAATCTCTCCAAATTTTATTGGAGTAGATTGGAATTTCTTCCACTTTCCTTTTGATGGTTTGTCGGGAGGAATTTTGTTACTTTGGAATACTAAGGTGGATTCTTTTAGTACCTTATATTCCTCATATCAATGTGTGATTGAAGACTTGAAAATTTACAACAAAGATTTTTGGAGGATTTCTATAGTTTATGAAAATAAAGACACTTACAAAAGAAGGGGGCTTTGGAATCACTTGGAGGACTTTGCTTTAATAGATAAGCCTTCAGTGGTAGGAGGTGATTTTAACTGCCTATTATCCAAAATTGATAATAGGGGAGGAAAAATATTTGTCTTTTCCCAAGGACCTAAAGAAATAAATTTTTCTTAAATAACAATGATTATCATGAAGTGGATTTTATTGGACCAAAGTACACTTGGTGCAATAACATATCTGATGGAGCACGTATTTTAGAAAGATTGGACAGATGATTTGTCAGTTCGGCAGCTGTCAATTCTAATTCGTTATTGGTGGGTTGTCATCTTCCTAGAGTGGCTTCAGACAACTGCCCTTTAGTGATGAAACTTTGGGATGAACTTCCTAAATCAAAGTGCAACATTAAGTTTGAAGACACTTGGGCTTCTCATTTTGCTTCAACTGCTATTGTTCAAAAAGCATGGAATAGAAATTTTGGTTGTTCTCACTCGGATATTCTAGACACCAAATTTAAGAGGGCTTTAAAGGCTCTTTATTTATGGAGCAAAGCTAAATTGAAAGACCTTAATCAATTGAAGGTAGATCTAACAAAGGAAATTTTAGATTTACAAATGGAGGAAGCTTTTGTTGGTAATCTATCCGAGGAGAAGATTTTGATTCTTAGATAAAAAATAAATGAGCTCAACAGTACTTTAGCTCGGTTGAGGGTGGAGGCAACAAGTTAAGGTAAAATGGATCAAAGAAGGTGATTTGAATTCTAAGTTTTTACATTCGTTTGTAAATGCTAAAAGGAATTCAAAGCATATTTTCAAAATTAAAGATGAAAATGGTTTATTGGTAGAAGATCAAAAACAGATTGAAAGAATTTATTCTTTCATTCTAAATGGGAATCTAAATCTTGCTCTTTGAACAAATGGCCAAACTTGAGAGATTTTTTGACAGATCATGAAAGAGAATTCCTTAATATCGAGCTTACCATGGAGGAAGTTCTAGTAGCTATCAAGCAACATGGGGGAGGAGTTTCACCTGGTGTTGATGGTATTACACTTTCATTTGTCAAATCTTATTGGTCCATCATTAAGGTGGACATTTGGAATGCTTTAATGCACTTCTTCTCTACGGGTATAATGGAAGCCAATTGGAAAGATACATTGATTGTGCTCATTCCAAAGGTGGATATACCAATGATTCCTTCAAATTTTAGGCCAATAAGTTTATGTAAAACTATTTATAAACTTGTGGCTAAGATTCTTCTCAAGAGATTTGTTTCTATGCTTCCTAATCTAATTTCAAAAAATCAGTCAGCTTTCATTGAAGGCCGTTCATTATCAGACCATGTCCTTATTGCTCAAGAAAATTTTCACAAATTTAAATTTTCAAATTCTTCTAAAGGATTGGTTTCATTCAAGATAGATATGGTGCAAGCATATGATAGCATGTCTTGGAGAACTTTAAAGCAGATTTTGAGTTATTTAGGCTTCCCTTTACATTTTTCCAAACTTATTTTAGAATGTGTATAAAATCCAAGATTTTCTATTTTAATCAATGGGAATTCTTCTAAGTGGATACGTGCTTGAAGTGGATTTCATCAAGGTTGTCCCTTATCTCTATTTCTATTTATTTTATGTTCCCAACTTTTATCCAATGCTTTAATTCAAGAGAAAAAAGAGATAGAGATTAAAATACACCACAATACTCATATAATATCTCATTTGCTTTATGTAGATGATGTATTAATCTTTTATGAAGCCAATATGAAGTTGATAAAGAAGATTAGAGGTATTCTTTTGGATTATTGTAGTTGGTCGGCACAAAAGATCAATTATAATAAATCTTTTATACTCTTTGGGAAAGACATGAGTAGAAGAAGGAAAAAAAAGTATTGCTCGAGTAATGAGATTTAAAATTGTCAAAGAATTCTATTACTTGGGGGTGAAGATTGCTTTAAGAAGAATTGTGGCATTGGACTTCAATTTCATGTTGGAGAAAGTTACGGGAAAGTTGGATACTTGGGGAAGCAAATTTATTTCTCTGTTAGGAAGATTCACTCTTGCTAAATCTACTATTCTGTCTTTTCCAGTGTTTCATTGCACTCATTCCCTTATTATGGTAGGAATTTTGGCTAAGATTGATAAAGTTTGTAGGAATTTTATTTGGCAAAAAAATGATAGTGGAAATGGTTTACACTTTTTTTGCTGGGATTCTTTGTGTAAATCATATTATTTGGGAGGACGTTGTCTTCATTCTTGCGTGAAGAAGGTGGATGCTTTAAGGGCAAAAAATTGCATGGAAGTTTATGAATGATGAGGATTCTTTGTTGCATAGAGCTTTGGAAACTAAATATGGTTCATCTTGTTGGAATCTTGATTTGAAACCGAGTAAGTCAAATGCTTGGAAAATCATTTTGAGCGGTGCTAAGGCTCTTAAACTAATTGTAAGATGGAAGATATCCAATGGGGAAAATGTTAACATCATGGAAGATGTTTGGATATTAGATAAAGCTTTGAGCAAGTGGCCTACTTTTCTCTCAAATCTACAAAGTAATTGCTTTATTCGTAGATTACTTTGTTAGTAATGGTGGTTGGAATATGGAGAAGCTACATCAGGTTTTTGGAGAGAAATTGATAAAGATTATTTACAAAATTCAAATTGACCCGAATTGTCACAAGGATCAAATGGAACTGATGTACCAGATTTCAGGAAAATCACTTTATGCTTTAGTATTCGAATCTAATGTCACCAATTCAGATTTACAAAAGTATTGGACATGGATTAAGAGAATGAAACTTACTCCAAGGATTGAAGTTTTTTGGTGGAGACTATATCAAAAGGCAATTCTTACATTCCTATTTTTGGAATATAGAAGATTAAAGAATGTGAATTTATGTCCTAGAGGATGTATGAAAATTGAAGACAATGAACATGTGTCAATCATTTGTGATAAACTGATTCAAATTGTAAAAATATTGAATCAATGGTGTTTTCAAATACCTTCTTTTCAGAATTTTGCTGAATGCATTTCTTGGTTGGAACGTAATGCTTCTACAAAGACCTTTCTTGCGAATGTTTACAGTGCAACGATTTTTCTTTATCGAAAATCCAGAAATATTTTCATTCATGAATGTAAGGAAGATAGTAACTTGAATATTGCAGCTAATGCTCTTGCTATGTCTTCTATTTCTATGGTAAATAGAAATAATTCGGGCTTATGGGATGCTAATAACCAACTTGGTTATTTAAGAATTGTTTGTGAGATCTCGTTCCCTTACTGTTCCTCTCTGAATTGGATTTTCCTCCCAGGATCGTCCAGGACGATGTTGATATCGTCCAGGCCGATCAGTGTATTGAAAACAGCTAATTTCTGGAGTGTTTCTGGAATGATTTCTGGACTGGATCGTCCAGGACGATTTTGGATCGTCCTGGGACGATCAGTGTATGGCAAAATCCCGAGAGCAAGGGGTTTTGGCAAATTAATTATCGGCCTGTGGAATTGTCCAGGACGATTTGATTTTGTTCTGATCGGCCAGGACGATGTGGCGATCGGCCAGGCCGATCAGACTAAAGATATAAGAAAATCAGTTGTAGCATCGTTCGTGGTCGTCAATGGATGGTTCTTTTTATGGATATTGATACAGACGCTGCCGTATTGACAAGAAGTAAGTGAGATTGAACGATAGATTGATTTGCAAGTATATGTTCTGATACGATTCCACTCTATTGATTTGACTAATGTGATACGATAAGTAAGACGACTAGACGACTGTATTGATGTAATTGATGTGATCGATTGCTAGGATAGAGATTGTAGAGAATTGATTGACGCATTGATTTTTGAGCTTTATGGATTTCCTACTGGTTATTGATTTTATTGACTTCTGTTCCGTATTGATTTCCTATCTGCATTGACTCATTGAT